CACCCCATGATCCCATTGCTTCACCAAAACTGACCCTGCAAACATGTGCTTTTGAATGGCCTTTATATATCCTCAGAAGAAACGAAGCACTATGTAATCACGCACATTTTTTCAAAAAAGATTTAGCAATGCACTCAATGCATAATACTGCTCTTAAGTTTCAGCTGCTGTTGGTTTGATCTTTTCTTTTACCTGCTGCCATCCTGCGCTTGCTTTGCTTACCGAAGTACAACAAAACCTGGTTTAACCCCTTGTTACCTTTCACCAAGCGAGTTGGTTTCGGGCCGGTTCTCAGACGGTTAGTGTGACACACGCTGTCCTCCCGCAGAGGCCCGGAGCGCGCCAGGTAGAGACGGCTCTGCCCTCCCTCCCTCTCCTAAGGGCTCCTTCTGGGAAGGATGAGGGATCGCGAGTAAATCAGTGCTGGGGGTTACTAGACCGTGCAGTTCCCTGACAGCCGAAACACACTGGGCCAATTCAGCTGGCCGGGAGAGCTTCAGCCGCCCTTCCAGAAACTGGGGGTGGGGAACAGCTATCCCCATTGAAACAGCAAAATACGATCCTTAAAGATTAGCTAAGGAGAGAAGAAAGGGGATGGAAAATAGGGGAAAAAACACCATTTGTGGTACGCATTCACTGAGGTAAGTCAGACACTCGAGACACAAAATTTGTGTTTGATCACTACAGTTGCTACACTAGATACACCATTAGTTTACCAGAAATGCTGCCAGCATGCAAACCCTCTTGCAAGCCAATTCCAACGCTGCATCTGTATAATAACAAAGCATCCCTGTTTGGTCACTAGTCAGGTAACCAAATCCGCAGGCTACAACGGTTATTTTTCCCCTTTTAGGAATGGGGAGTCCAAGAGTTCAAAGTCATCTTGCAACATGACCATATTTAAAAACAAACCCGAAAGCCCAGCAACATGCACAGCTATGTGAAAGGTTACTCATCATCTTATCATTTAAAACTTATGTGCGTTTCCAAACACAGAAGCCACCATCTTTCTAAGCAGCAGTCAATATTGATGCATTCACCCTCAGTTCTCCCAGAGGCTGCCCCGGCACAAAGTGCCTAACGACTCCAGCACCTTAAATACCCATTTCATTTTAATGCTGCAACGCCGAGCAAAACACTGTGGGAACAGCCATTATTTTACAGGCTCAAGCACAATCCCTAGTGACACAAAACAAGCTTTTTTTTTTTTTTTTTTTTTTTAAGAAAAAAACTCTCCATTGTAACAGAGCTCTTAAAATTGCAAATCACAGAGAACATGAAGCGGAGGGGAAAGAGGATAAAATGCACTAAATTCCCTTTGGAAAGGGAGTCAGCGGCGCTCCCGGAGCGCAGGGGCAGACACGCCAGGCACACAGGACCGCCCGGGAGATGTATATATGTGTATTTACACACACACACGTTTCTATGCACGTCTCCCGCGGGCGCTGCCGGCCGCGCCAGGCCCGTCCCGGGGCGCGGCGGCGCTGTCAACGCGGCGCACGGGGACGACGACCCATGGGGGCCGCCCGGGCGCCAACGGCC